GCAAGATAAAATTGCGCGACAGTGGAAATCCACCCTTGCACATGACAGGGCTCAAATTGTCTTTCATAACAAAAATTCGTCGTTTTCCAAAATGAGTAAATTAATAAACCGGCGATACCAAAACATGGAATATAGACGTTTTTTGGAGTGTTACGTTAGGACGGTTTAGCAGCAAATAAAACTAACCCATTACGCCACGTAGTAACTCGTTAACGGAAATCAAAAGCTCGAAAATTGGTTGTTTCAGTCTTAAGAGTGCGTTTTATACTAACACTATAGCTATCGAACCTACTTTTTGTTGCTTTCCTGTAAAACTTGCAAAACGTATGTCCATTTACGTTTCGTACCACTTTCTCAGATTTTCCTGAACTGCTGAAGAAGGAACTTAGAACTTAGAATAAATACTCCCCCAAAAGATAGAGATTCCTCTAATACTGGGAGGGTACCGGTCAGCGGTTACAGCGTCTGCAGATGTGAAGGCAACAAGGAACTTAATGAACTTAAATACCCTCAAAACCTTTAGGAACTGTCGCGTGCACCGTTATGATTTTCCGACGTGCACTTTTACGACTTTCCGACTAGCTTTTTCGAAACAGAAACATGGTTACCTAGCCCCTTAATTTAATTAGAGCCTACGTGCCGAGTAGGTTTATTCAAGGCATACCTAACTCTTTGCGGGACTGAAATCTTGCGGATGTGGAAAGACCACAAAAATCAAGCCCCGCACGTACATACTTTATAAAAGTTAACGCATCACATTTCAATAGTTCTTGAAAGAGCTGGATTAAGCCACGTTAGAGAATGGAAAATAATTATTTTATTACGCAAGGGCATGTTTAAGGATCGATTCGTGAATTTATTTACTCTGAAACTTGGATAAACAAGTTTTCTCTTTACTGTTGTAGGTTATGAAGCCAAAAAGAAATTTATTTCTCTAATCAATCAAAATGCACGTAGACAATCAAATAAGCCAATCACATGTTGAATAAAATACACCACGCAGGCACTACCGCCAAGGGCGGGAAAATACACGTTATCAAGTCGCGCTTTTGATTGGTTCTAAACAAGTGGCCCAGAAAGCATAACAACAGCAATTACATTCACCATTTACCACCACTGTGTTTGCACTTAACATAAGTACTAAAATGTTTTAGTTCCAAGGATGAATCGAAGATACTTTAGATGATAAAGCCAAAAGAAACAAGTCAGTGTGCTATGTTTTTGCCAAAATCGGACAATAATAATTATTATTATGAAACCACAAGAAAAAAAAAACATAGCTGATAAGACTTTAAGTTCACGTTCTTTTAAGTAGTATCTAAAAATAAACTGTGGATTTATGGATTAGAAAGAGTGTCAGACTTTTTTAAAGTTATAGAAAATAGGCGAGAAATCAAGCCCTTTGAGGTTTTATAAATAACAATTTAGAACTATTGGCAAATGTAGCCTATTATTTCAGGACTATATATGCTACAGTTTGGCCTATTCTCATCAGCTCCTTATTGCACTTTTATAATAAATAACCTCAGGCCTTAGGTGCAATTTAAAACTTCCTCCAATTCTTTTTCTTCTTAAAACTGGTTAACAAACATTTACCAAGAGAGAACATAGACACAAAAAAATATCCCATAAAAAGGTGGCATTATTTGGAAGCAAGAAGTTAAATGTCAATCAAAGAGTACAACCCTTTAAGGTTCAAGTAGAATACACAATAGAACCCATCTGTATTTAGCTATATACTGCATTTCCTTCGGTCCTAATAAAAACCTCTTCTCATACAGCCCAAAGTCTAGGGTAGAAAAGAAAATTAAGACATAGAATAAAAATAATGCTCTATAAAAGTTGCCAGCATTTACAAGCAAATACTGAATGACAACCTTTAGAGTACGAGTATTCTTGGACAAAAAAAGAAAAGGCACAATGTCATGGATCCTTGCTTGCAGATTATCTTCTAGTGCTTCAAGGACCATATCAAACATTATCAAGTTCAAGGTTTTAATAAACATCTATCATTTACCGAGGAGTTTCATTCAATCCTTTTTCCAATGACCAATAAAGTGGACCAATTTATTTTACTATTTGCGGAGCAAAGAGTAGCATGACTAAAGAAAACTTGACGTCTTTATCATTTTACAAGAGAGTTTCAAATAAAAGCTTTTAAATCCTCCCTAGTGTATCACAAAAATTTGCAAGAGTAACTGAAATGTAAAAAGGACACACACATACGTTCTGACAAATTACTTGTGTGCCACAAGTACACTTTACATTTCAACATTCAAGTCCTATATTTTGAAAGCCAGTATTGCTAAATTGAATCATCCTGGCATCTATCAACAAGTGAAAAGTGCATATTTCCATCAATCTATGAACTTCGAAAGGCATCCTTATTTCATTACAAAGGCTATTATTCTGTGTAGCTTGCACCGCAAGTCAATTGTAAAGCAGAGTGAAAAGTAAAGCAACTTTCTAGCTTGCTCCTTGAGTTGTCTGGTCTTTCTTATTTTCACCATAACATAGCTCTCTTACTCTACAATCTGACTTCCACAATTGACATGTAATAGTAATACAGTAATCATCACATTAAAGGTGCATTCTACAGATTGCATTCACATAGCATGCTTTTTCAGATGTGCTCTCTGCCTCTGTATTTCTTTCATTCTATTGACTTATCGTGGATTTTGATAGGTATCTTTGACGAATAAAACTGTTGTTATTATTGTTGGTAGTGGTAATGGTGTCCCGTCAAATGACCAAGTTCACGCAATAACTTAGCCCTCTCTCTGTAAAACTTTTTATTGGAGCGTGTGAGACAACCACTCGTTATATTTTTAAATATAAAAAATACTGAAACTTGCGTGCCCTTCCCCGCACGAAAAGTAACTGGATATCGCTCTTCGGTCGACGTGCAATCTTTCGTGTAAATTAAACTACATACAGTATTTATGTCTCAATAAGTTAACTGTGTTTTAAATTCAACAGCAATATAAGCAGAGGATGGTAAAAAAAAAGGTTGCATGTATATGTAGTGTTGGATCTTCAAGGGATCTAATCAGCCAAAAATTACACACACACAAATAGAACAAAGCAATTAAAGGACCATAAAAGGAGCATGTACCACTGCATGATCGCTCTAATACAGCGTTAAAATATTATATCACGTTGAGACACATATTAAGACAGAGCAACATAGCTCTCTGCTAAAGATGAAAAAGATGATTGCTTTAATGTATCTTCCAATAACCAGAAAAGCTTTCGTCGAGCGCATGTCATTAGGCTGTTAGTAATTTCACTTTGATGGGTCGCGGCAGGACCTTCAAGTCGCTTACATAGTTCAAGATTTACAACAACGGTAACAATGTAAAGCAATAGATATCCTAAGGTGCATAAGCAAAAAGGACGCTTCAAGCTCACCTTTCAAACTCCTATTTGCTCTGTTTCTGACCTCGCCCGCACCTTGCCCTTGATATAGCGTCCGCCATTTTGGTTGAGACGAATTCGTTCCAGCGTCCCCGGAGGCAACCAGCCGAATCGCATGCATTTCAATTTGCGATTGGACAAGAACGTGTCAAGTGACATAGAACACGTGTTTTCCGAAGAAAAGCAATTTCTGATTTACAGTCGAACGGAATCCCGCTATTTCGAAGTCCCAAGGGAAATGAAAAAAAACAGTTCGAAATAGCGGGGCTTGGAAATAACCGGGAAACATTCGATCTTCCTTCGAAATAGCGCGGACTTCGAATTTTTCCGTTGAGCACGCACATGCACCCAGACCCCGTAATGTTTTGGAGCGCCTTTTTCTTTTCGTGCGTACAACTTCAAACTCTCACGTAAAAATGTATTATTCTGAGATTTTTATTTCAAATAGTAGCTTTAAATTTTTACAACCATCAAAATGCTTTCATGTTTTGAAACATACCACGAGTAATTAGCCTGCACAGCTGGCGGGATCGTTAGAGTGAGAACAGTTTTGGCAGAGCAGCTGCGAAGCCGTGAGGAGAATGGGGAGGTGACGTTTTGAAGCGCTCGCTTCTGTTCTCGCGGCTTTAACAAAGAATTCCGCCAGCTACGCAGGCTAGGACCAATCAGAGGTTTGATTATTGAGATTTTAGAACACTCAAAAGTTTCTTTGCGTGAAGACACTAAAAACGGCTGTGTAGCAGACTATCCTAAAAATAGCCACTCTCCCTCGAATAAGACCTTTCAGCCTGGAACCATAAACTGAGTAGCCTGCGTGGCAGGCGTTAAAAGGGGAAGGGGAAAATTGGGGCGCGCAAGAGCGTGTGGGGCCCTAATTCCTTTCCCCTTCCCTTTCGAATGCCTGCCACGCAGGCTATAAACTAAGAGACAGAAGAGAGTTGACCAGAGTCAGGGTTCGTACAGATTTTTGGATCCAAAATTCAAGACTTTTTCCAGACTTTTTTCCAGACTCAAGGTTATCAAATGGCTGATCGCGAGAATAGAGACCTTAAAAAAAGCATGAACAAAGCTTTTTTCACGATGAGCTGCCAACTACAGTGGAGATTGAATAAGATTTGACCAAAACAAAACAAAAAAAAAGAATTTCACTTATACAGCACCAAGAGCCATAATAGGACAGAGAGGGACACTCCCAGTCACGCCTTTGGGATATCTTAATCTCAAAAAAGTTATTTTTAGAACTATGCGGACCATGCGGAAACAGTTTCCGGTAAACTGGTTGACTTCTGGAAGATTCAGCGCGCCAAAGCGAGGCGGTGTCAATAAATGAAACCGATTTCTACCGTTGCTTGTAAAGGACCCTTTTGCGTAGAAGTTTAAAGCTGTTTCTATGGTAGGTTTTTTGTTGAAGAAGGCCAATTTATCAACTCCACATCGTCCCTCCACTTGTGCCGCCATTTTTTTATTTGTTGACGCCGCCTCGCTTTGGCGCGCTGAAATCGTGAAAGCGAGTCTTCCGGAAGTCAATCAGTTTACCGGAAACTGTTTTCGCATGGTCCGCATAGTTCTAAAAATAACTTTTTTGGGATTAAGATATCCCGGCCAACGCCCTGAGTGTCCCTCTCTGTCCTATTATGGCTCTTGACAGCACTTGTTGTAGCTTTAAAAAAAACAACAAGGCTTTTTGCCATTTTTCCAGACTTTTTGCACGTTTGGAAAATTGCTGGGGAAATTTCGAGACTTTTTCAAGAATTCAAGACTCTATACGAACCCTGAAGAGTACTATCCAGCATAATTGATTCTAAGGAAATGAGCATGCTATGATTCGTCACAAAAAGGTCCTGTCCACACGAATCCGGGTAAGCTGAAACCGCATTTGAAAGTCAGTAACCGGTTGCAATTATTTACAGGAATTTGAAAATCCTTTAGATCCAAAGACGCTAGAGAGCGGTTTCGGTGACCAGATTCTTTGGTTTCGTACAGACAGAAGGCTGATTCTTAAAAAAACGTATATATTTTCGGGTTGCAAAAATATCCTGATTTGTGTGGACGGCGTTCATTCCTGCGGCATTCTATGGCCCCTTCCCCGCCTTCCATCTAGACGAAACAAGTGAACTCGCTCACTGAAAACGCATCTTTTTGAATCTGCTCTCCATTGTTGTTGTTGTTGCTATTTTTACGATCCGACGGATTTGGGGTCGTTCTCCAGGTGCCGTCCATCACAAAAGAAACAAAGGAACCAAACAGTAGGGTTCTCCTGTGGGCTTAATTGTTTGGTTGTATTGTTTCTTTTGTTGTACGTAATCTGTGCCACGATACCAACAGAAGGAACCCGGATTCGCGAATCCAAATCCGTGTAGATGACTGAAACCGGATATTTTCCAATTCAATAGGCCATTTCCGAGTTCCAAAAAATCTCACTTTCAAAGCGAGGCTAAGTGCGAAGCCATTGACATGAAAATGATTTTTAATTATGATGCAAATAAAACTCATTTTTACAACAAAGGTTTCGCACTTAGCCTCGTTTTGAAAGTGAAATTTTTTGGAACTCGGAATGAATCGTATGGACGGGGCCTCAGTTATAGAAATTCGGATAACTATGACCTCGTGCATTGCTGTAAACCTTCGTCAAAACATTCAAATAGCATTTTCATACAAACTTTTTTTGCATTGTTAATTTATTACATTCCAAAACTCAAAATTCGCCACTTGCAAATCTCCAAAAATGCACCTTGTTTGCCTCCAAAATTTTGCGTCAGCATTGTTTTCAATTTCTTTTCGGACGGTTGTAATACCCAGGACAAATGAAAAACAAAGGTTATGCAAAATTTGGGGGGGGGGGGCGGTGGAGGGGTCAAACAAGGTGTATTCCGGGGTAATGCAAATGGCGAATGGTAAGGTTATCTGGCTTGCTTACCACCTTAAGTCGCTTCAGAAGTGCGGCCCATTAACTCGTTATCTTTACGGTACGGTTCTATGATATACTACATGCATTGTTACTCTGCCAAGCCGACGAACTCAAATTCTTGGCTCTTTTTAATACAACTAGCTTATGCCCCATTCATACTAGCTAAACATTTTTTAATTAAACCAGGTTTTAAAAAATGAAAAACAGACACGGAAAACTGGAACACAGGTTTTTACACAGTATTCAAGTTAAACTCAACACGCTTTGTAATTTGCACTAAATTTGCAGCAAGTAGCTTTTAGGAAGGAAACAATTTTAAACCATGTTTAACTAAACAGTCTTTAAACATGTTTGAGCCTTGGTGTGAATGGGGCTTTAGTCCTGTTTTGTCATTGTAAGCTATCAGAGAGTATGTCAAAATTAAATTCCGTGAGATCACTCACCACAGGAACCCCACATCTCTCTTTACAGATAATAGGTCGATTGGATATTGAGCACCATATCTAATACTTTATTACAATTTGCTGCTCAGTGGTTTCCCGCTTACAGCCTGTGGAATTCCAGGAAATTCATCATCAAAAGCCGCACGTAAGACATCCTCAACCCTGTTAGCCAAGATAAAGTCCATCTTGTCCTGATAAGAAAAAAAGAAGAACAATGCTTTACACACATTCGTTCAGATAGTAAAGCGCGGGGTGAAAAATAGAGCGAACAACAAAAAAGCGACGGAAGAATAGGGGGACTCGACCCAGTCTCCCCTCGCTATAGTAAGCCATTTCAGCTATCGCCAAGAAAAGGTGTAGCATTTCTTGATTGAAGCGTTTACACAAAGAGTCCCTTTTCCCATGATTGTTGTAGTTGCCAAAGATCAGTTGATAAACATATCGTGGTCTGAGACCCACGCATAGTCAAACTCAACAATCGTTGAAACAAAAATGTGTATGAGTATGATTTGAAATTCTCTAATGTGACTGCATGGTATCTTACCTTCACGTTATCGGGTAGCTCTGAAAGATCCTACATTCGAAAGAAACAAACAAAAATTATCTACTGACAAAAAAGACAGAACTAAAATAAGCTAAAAATACGTGCAACGCAATACTAAAAGCCAAAAGAACAAAGGGGGAATAGGCCAAGAGAAAACAAAGATAATAAAAACAAAGAAAAATTATCAACTAACAAGAAAGATCTTACTAATATAAAATATCTCGAGAGAGGCTGCGAGAAAATATACACCTGCATTCTCGATGTTAGAATCAGTACTTTAGCTTAACCCCTTTCTCACCTTTTCGTTCCGAGATAGTGGTGAAAGTGAAAAGTCGTTCAAAAATAAGAAAACGCGCGGGGGCTGGGGAGAGACGGGGCCCGCCGCCACCGGCCCCCTTTGCCAAGTCGCGCGCGTCTTATTTTCGCTTTGCTCGTTTAATACGTCCCCACTATACAATCTGAGAGCCTGGCACAGGCTACCAAGCCCCTTTCTCACCTTTTCGTTCCGCCTTGGTAATATCACCCTTTTCAGACCAGCTCTATGAGCTGCCAGTACTTTTTCCTTGATTCCACCGACCTAACAAAAACAATTCAGAGGCGATTCAATTTCACTTTTCATACTAACCATATCAGTGCTAATAGTTCTATCTCTCTCTCTCTATCTTTTTCTAGAAAGGCTTTCTAAAACTCGAAATATCAAAATAACGCCATTGACCAAGGGTAACTAAAATTGTATTTTAAATACAAGCCTTACCGGTAAAACAAGGCCTCTTAACGTGATTTCACCTGTCATGGCTGTGTCAGAACGGGTGCATCGGCCACTGGGGAGACAACAAAAAACTATAAACTATCATCGCCACATTTAACATACCTATAAGCACGCGTACTCTTATAGAGACGAATTGCCCGAAAATTTGAGCAAAACAAAAAGGCAATAAGTCCACTTCCACCTGACGTGCGTCGCGCTTAAAAAATTAACCTCGTCACTTAAGCTCCCTATTACTGTAGTTTGATAATTATGACCATATTACGCCTGAATGGAAAAACTTGTTAAAACACTTAGTCAATAGTATTGGAGGGGATATACCGAGGAGGGCAGCAACCTTTTCAGCACCAAGGAGATCACCACGGAAATCGAGCCACTGCCTAGCACCAAGTATATGACAACACCACGCCCACAAAATGATGTGTGGAATGAATACTTACTCACGCAGTGGGAGGCATGGAAACGAAGAAACAAAGCAAATTGAGCGAAAGTAGATCGCATTGTCCCTGGAAAACTTACCTGAATAGTGAAACAAGTACAGTTACAATGGTAACACCAGCAGAAGGGCCGTCTTTACCCACAGCGCCTGCTGGGAAGTGGATATGAACATCTGTACGTTCCAGAAGGTCAATACCGTCCTCTGACGTCAGGAAAAACTATATAACGGTAAAAGAGATAGACGAACAAGAAGTGAGTTAGCTTAGTACTTGTAAATTCAATGGGGGCAGATAACAAATTGTTGTTGCCGGAAACATCTTTAAGTGGTAACTGTTACATTGTTTTCATTTCCACAGTTGCTTACGGTTCCATTAATATAGCCACGCAAAATCATCGCAACACCAGAATAAGTGAGAAAATCAGGGACGGGTTCAAATGTTCAAGTAGGTGGGGGTTCGCTCATCCAGAGCCTAAGAAAAGAAGGGGGCCCAGCATCGAAAATACTGAATTTTTCTCAGCCCTACGTGCTCTAGACTGGCCTAAGAATTAGAAGGAGGCCCTGGTCTACATCCGCCAATGGAATTGGTAATACATTTGTTAAAGATAAAGTCGTTCGTACTCGCTTTGGTTGGGCATTCCTAAGCACTGCTGCTGATTTGAAAACGGCGGCAACTTTTTCAGCCAATTGAAAGTCAAACCGTTCTCTCGGGCTAAGAGTGCCGCAACCATAGCTTCAAGCTGATTTGATGGTATTTGAAACAGCTTATCAGATTTTGGTGCAATTCAGTCTTTATTTGCTTTGATAAAAGCATTACGATACTAATTTGAGAATAACTACAAATTTTGATTACTAAATAAGGTAAAAATATACACCTCAACAGAACGACTCCTAAGCCAGCTTAGCGCCAACTGTGCAGACTCCTTCATGACATCCCCTAAAGATTAAGGCAAACATTATGCTCATACCCAAAAGTCTACTGATTTTAGCAGCAAAGCATTTTGGAGAATATATCTTACTCCTCCTTGTAAATCTAGTAACCTTTACCGTGCTGATCATGAGGTCTACAAAGGTTAGCCTGTACACAGACGTTGTTTAATGTTTCTTCTCGTTCTTTCCGAAAACATCGCCGAGCTCGCGAGCAAAGCGAGCTTGCGAGAACGAGCGTGGAGCGCGAGAAAGAAAAATCGTCTATTTTTTTCTTCCCCCACCCCTACCCCTTGTGCTGGCGGTCAATAAATCCCCTGCGGATTATATATCATCACGCGCGCTCAAAGAGAAAATAGGGGGTCTGTGAACAGGCTAAAAAAAGGTGGACAAATTTAAGAGCAGAGAAATTAAATCTTTGAGACAAGTTCCTTTGTGTGGTTCTCTAGTAGTATTTTGAGGAAATGTCTTAAATAAGTATATATGAGACACATACCAAGCTGTCCTGTTAAGGTCAATTTTCCTTCCCCTCCCATCCGCGTGGCTTCAACAAACATGATTTCTCCGCCCATGGCCGTCCACGCTAAACCTGAGGAGAACATGCGAACAAAAAAAGAAAACACGCGGTTAAAAACCACAATGACAGCAGACGGTATTGTGTAGTAAGGGATAAACTTGGGAACCAGTTGACTGGAATATCAAAAGAAATGATATCGGTTCTTAAACTACGTTTCTAAACGGTTTGCAAGTCTAGTTCCCTGACAGCCATCGTAGGTGGCACAGGTGTTGAAAAAGGCATGTAAATCAAGTCACATGCAAGACAAGTCACCAGTGCTATTGGCCTTTTTTTAAAATACTCTTAAAAAGAGTTGTCGTTTGGGATCTTTTAAACCCACGATCATGACATTTGATTACAACTACCAGGGATTGCTAAATCTAAAACCTAAAGCAAACAAAAAATAATGCTGGTTGCTAAAGGAAATTCACGTCATCGTGAAACGAAGCCCTAGTTTTTGAGTCTCTGAAGTGTTTTGAAGATTTGATCATTCAAATGAAAGACCTACGTTTAGCTTACGTTTCTCAAAATGAATTGTTTTCAAACTACTTCACAGACTTATCCCTGAGCCGCGAGGAGCGATATATGCATATTTTCAGGACGTCAAGAATTTACGAGTACTTGGAAGAGACCGATGAGCATAAAAGATAAACAAAAATCCCATCACTCACCGACAGCAACCCCAGGGGTAGAAAGTCTTTGAGCCACCTCAGATTCAAACGCAGGAGGCTGGAAAATATTTATGTCATTAGATAACAATAACACAAAGAAGAGCTCTTCATCGAGAGAAGCAATTAGTATCTTTTAATAATCGACACGTGGCCCTCACAGAAAAAAATACTGCTTTCACAGGTTTAAACTTGAAGTCTAACTAACTATTTGCCAAAGACTTTTCTTTGCTAATTACAAATTTCCAATTGTTTGATTTTGCTTCCAAAGGAAGTTAATGAGCAGCAGTCTTTTAACACAAAGGTAAATGAGAACCTCACCCCTAGCACATCAGTTAAAAACTTTTCAGTGACCAAGAACGCCCTTCTGTCCGTAACAGTAACAGCTGTAGTGTTGGTAGAATCAGCCTTGGAGCTTGTACCCTCTTGTTCTTTAGATTCCTCTTTACCGCTGTCTTTAGTTTTCTCTGATGCACTTCTTGCGGCTTCAGCGACCTACATGTAAGAAAATCAGTGAAGAAATAAACACGAAATACAGGAAGTCGGTAGCTATTTTTACCATGGAAGCACGAGATAACGGGATTTAAATAATGGCTGCTTTGGTATTCCACAGATAAGGCGCTTTCCATTTACCAAGAAACTCCAAAATTCTAGCCTGAGTTTCATCCGATTACTGATAGCCTGAATTTCATCCGATGACTCCCTCAGTAACGTCGTTACTGAGGGAGTAATAACGACTCGAAGTAATCGGATGAAATTCAGGCTACAAAATTCCGGTTGGGATGCAAATGTAACACACATTTTTACCCGCGAAGAATAGGGGTACATGTACTTTGAAAAGGTAGTCCTGTTTTCCCGCTGGAAACAAAGTAAGTAAAGTAAGGGCATATTAAGTTAAGGCCAAAACATGTCCCTACCCGCACGGCGACTGCTCTGCACACGCCACCAATCTTCCGTTCAAGTGATCGTACCCCGGCCTCACGAGTGTAATTAGAAACTGCAAGGAAAAACACATTTTCATTTTTTTTTCTTAGTTCATGAAGTTTTCTTTCTTTCAACAAAATAAAAAGTGCGAATTAACAAACGATGAGGAATCTGATGCTGAAGAGAGATTATAGATTCTCGGGTATGAAATCGAATCAAAATATCCCCCCGTTTATACAGAGAAAAGTTGTCCCCGGTAGACATTCCATTACGACATTCCCTTACGAAACCTGGCGAACAGTTTACATGAGATGAAAGAAAAAGTTGGCTCGGCTTTTGTCATGGTAAAGACGACCTTCTAGCCGGGTCAACTTTTCTCCACAGAAACACTTTGGTTCGCCCAGCCGGGTCAACTCAGTCTAAACAACTCGGTCAAGGTGAGACAATCAGAGCATGCGCAACCGCCGTTTTAGACAATTTTTGCCGGGGAGGGGTAAAAATGGCCAGCGGCAAACCCTTATAACACAGACATCCTCCCCTAAAACGGTTATTCCCTCTCGTTCTTCAGACATTTTGTTTGACTCTTTGTGAGACGAACACTTTTCCAAAGGTATCCGTCTTAGAAAGAGGTTACTGGATCTTTTTTCTACTATATTCCAAAAAGCACCCTTACTTATCGCCTTGAGTGAATTGTCGGGAACGTCAATGTCTTGAGCAGTGAGTCCGTGTTCCTGAAACAAACCATAAAAGATTTACTCGTCGATTGCAAAATAGTTTATAATTATAAACTACGAAGGAAAACTGAAAAATACAAACAATCATCAACATCTGATCTTTCAAATACGATGCTAGAATCTCTTCAACAGTAAGTCGGTAAAAAAGAAGCAAATTGAATAATTTCCAGAGTGTGTACGACAAACCTTCAACTGTTTGGGTAGAAGATGTCGTTTTGAAATGGCGACCTTTTCTTCCTGCGTGTACCCTGGAACCATGATTAACTGAAAAAATAAGCATCAAATAGAATGAAATCAATTTTGAACATTATCTCTCTCGCCCTGTAAGAAGGGTATAGGCAGCCTTTGTAACCCCTAAAAAATCTCTCTTGCTTTTAGAAAGAGGAAGAGCCTCACGACTGCTTAACCACCGCGCAAAGAACATCTCGATCTCTGTGTACGAGGGAAGGAATTCTCAGAACTGAGACTATCTCACTTTCTGAGAGTAATAGTATTCTCTGGACTGCTTACCTCCATTCGATCCAACAGGGCAGGAGGAATTGTGCTGACTGTATTAGCAGTGGCTATGAACAGAACCTGCAGACAAAATAGGACTGGTATAACTACATCTGTTTGGTCTGAAGTGTAAAGCGAACATCATTTTGAAGTACTCACTTGTGAAAGATCAAATGGAATGTTCAGATAGCTAGATGTAAGTTAAGGAAACTTCTTGTAATCACACTAAAATATAGATTTAGCCAGGGCTAAAAGCGAAGCTCTGGTTAATACTTGTAAACAAAAAAAAAAAAAATCGTGTAATGCTAAACGGGGACGACAATGAAAATGGCTTCAAGACTAATAGATCTAATTAGCAAAAAAACAAATTGCACGTGCAGCTCCGCTATTATAGAGCCCCACTTCTTATTAATAATTGGGACGGAACAATCGGAAGCTGGGTTAATCAGTTAAATAGGAGACCAGGATCGATCGGATGGAATCAAAGTAATTTCGGTTAAAAAAAGTGACGTACCCAAGATGAATTTTAATAACAAAACCAACACTTTGCAAAAGTATTAGGGAGTCAGAGGCGAGAGTAACTTCAGAATATCCAGCCACTAGTTGAAACACTATAAAGAATGACACATAACACAAGGGACACATTTACTCTTCAATAAGATGCCAAGAAGTGTCTGGGTATTCTAAAGTCAAGCAAGTATTAGGCAAACAAATACACTGTAAAAGATAGGATAGGATACTGGTCTACAAATGTCCAGTTCTGCTCAGGATCCAAGACCTCCAACAAAGCAGCAGCTGGGTCGCCATGAAGGCTTTTCCCCTACAAACACAAAAAAAACATTCTCAACATGTCACACTTTGTAGTATTAAATTGCACAATTAAAGCATTTATTGTTACTTTTTAGATTGAACATTACATGTATGAAAAGCCCTTTTTTAGGCTTAATTCTGCCACAAACTAGCGGCAAAGTCATCTCACCATCTTGTCCACTTCATCCAACAAGATGACTGGGTTCTTGACGCCAACTGTTTTCAATGCATTCAAAATTCTTCCTGGCATGGATCCTATGTAAGTGCGCCTATAACAAGATACCAACCAAAATCACCTCAATTTAAAGAAATCAGAAACCAAAAGAAGGAAGGGGACGATGCTAAAAAGGTCACAATAATGAGCAGGTACCCACGTACCCATATTCAGATAGTCTCCCTCGCAGCCGTTTTTTAGTGTCGTCACGCAGTGCTCCTACCCACAAACCTGGAGGAGAATTGTGTGATGACACTAACAATGGCTGGAAGGGAGACTACCATTCAGACTCCTGATACACTTCTTAACTAGAGCCAGTATGGCTGCGTGGTTAGAGCACCAGATTTGTAATCCGGAGGCCCCTTGTTCAAGTCCTGCCCTGACCGCTAGCTGGATTTGTTCACGGTAGTCCTGAGTTCAAATCTTCGGCCACACTTGTAAAATAGCAATGACTTTCAATTGGTGGCAAAAGCATTTTACAAACGACAAAAATTAAGAATGAAAAAGAGATTAAAAACAAAAACATGACCAATGATTTATCTCTTGTCCATGGTCAGTGAAGTGAAAAGTCTTTTCATTTCATCGCTTCCAGATGATTATAATATTGATAGAGTCATGGCTGAATTACCGGGTTTTGATAATAAAATATGATATTTTTGTCAACCATGAACAAAAAGGATTTAACTCCAAGGAGTAGTTTGTAATTAATTATAGGATGCATTCAACATGGTAAGTAAACATCATCACACACCTGTGTCCTCTGATGTCCGACTGGTCGCAAATTCCACCAAGTGATATCCTGAAAGAGAAATAAAATAATAGAAAATTCTTACTAACAAGCTAACAAGGAAGGAGAGATTACAAACACAGTTATGGGAATTTGTCCAGTACCTTTGAAATTCCCGGCCGAGTGTATTCGCAATAGACCTTCCTACGCTTGTCTTACCAACTCCAGGAGGGCCAACAAAGCACAGAATTGGTCCTGTAATGCAAAGGGAGATGTACCACCACATGAGAAGCTTGCTAACTTACCCAATAAAAATAAAACAAAGACTAAACGACTGGCTGGTTTGCTCTCTCAGTAAAAATCTTACTAAACTGTCTGACTGTGTGTCATAACTGGTTAACTATAAAGCAAAAATGGTACAGCATGTTCTGCCTTCAATGTGAAGACTTAAAAGAAAATACAACTTACTGCAACTTTACTAACTTCAAACAATAAAAGTTATTACGGTTGTTACCTTTTAAACTGTTTTTTAATTTGCGAACAGCAAGATACTCGATTACCCTCTTCTTTAATTTTTCCAGACCATAGTGATCTTGATCAAGATCAAGCCTTCAAAAAAATTGCAATAAATGAAAATAATTCATTACTTATAAACAATATTAAAATTTAGTTAATCTTGCAAATTTCTTCAATATACTGTAACTCCCTAAAGATCCATATTATAGATGTACAGTATATTTGGGTATGGGTGACTTGATCCCTCTCTGGAAAAAGAAACATATAGTATCCCCTGGAATGCTTTCTTTGCCTCCAAAATGGCAAAGACGTTCATACTGATACTTCCAAAAAATGATATCTACAGCTACTTGGTTCCTCACCTTGCCTGAGGGATATCTAACTTGTCTTTGGTTTCTTTGCTCCATGGAAGGTCAATCATCCATTCCAAGTAATTCCTTAGAAAGGAAACAATCGAAATGAATTTCACACTCAACAAAGAAAACTAAGTTACAGTGAATTTACAGTAGAATTTCCCTTTTTTTGCTATCCTGATGATTCACAATGCTTTGGCAATCATTCTCTAGCCTGGACCTGAGATATTTACTTCGGTAATCAGGGTTTCAGTTTTGGAAAGTACCCACCATTTCAACATACATCAACAGATGACATGCTTGTCAACTATGAAATGTTTACCAGATGAGGTAAAGGAACAGACATGGCACTAGAGAAGTCCAAGTCATTGGGACTACCTTTTTACAATGCAACCTCAGACCAAATTATTATTTTTACCTTGATGTGGCATGTTCAGGGAACTGTGGTGGCATCTTTTTCAGTCTCTACAATGATGAAAAAGTACTGATCAGTATCCAAGGACAGCAGTAAAGTAGTAAACCCTAATAGTTCTCTCTCCACAATGGCCACTTTTTTATGTTCTAGTGCATTCCCTTGTTTACTAATAATACTAAAAATTTCATGATAATCTCATAATTCATTCTAAATATTTTTTTTTTCACTCCCTTTTGTTTACTTTCCCTCTTTAAAATGAGCTGGCAGTCATGACCAAATTTGGACAATAACAAATGGTTTGAAGAAAGTCCATGTGGGGGTAGGAATACTAATGAGTGCGGGTGACAATGATCGAAGGTCAAAATGCTTTTGCTCCATTGCTGTAACTTTTCGTAAGTTTTACGTGCAGATATTCAATACACACCTGATTAGATTACGAGTGACAGAGGGTCCAAACATGAATGATCAAATTGAGTCCTGTGCATTCCATTCATTCTTAGAGGAAGTCCAAATAAAATGCTTGCTGCCTACATGCGACGCATGCATAATAACAACCTGGAGATTAGGATTGCAGGCTCCTCTTGTCGCATTGTTTTCAATTTCTTTTGGGACTTACAATCGCCTTCAACAACAATGACAACATGTTGGAGCCTGGTGGACAACAAAGAGTATTATGGTATTTTTTTTAAAAGGCCTACTCCAGTAAATTACCTACCTTAAGCTCTTTCATGGCCACTTTAAAAGCATGCTCTGGTAGATCAGCTGACCTACAAAAATACATTAAAACATTGCATAGCTGGACACAACACAATGTGAAGACATTTTGAAAATGGGGGAGGAGTGTATTAGAATTCAATCATCCCATTTACAAAGAATGAGACTTAGCAATGTCTTTATTGTATGAATGAAAACTCTATTCTAAAATGGGGCTAAGTTTGGAGGACAGAGTGGCACATCTCTTAATAAGGGTATAGAATGGTACCTTGAAAAATTTGTCTCAGAAACTTTTGGACCAATCTTGAAATCTTGGAAACATTTTTGATGTGTCTCAAGGTCTTGTTTTCAGGTGATTTTGGGGTTTTGGAGGCTCCTTATTTTTTTAAGTCAATGGCTCTCAGAGTCTCGGATTTGTTGTTTTTTTGTTTCCGTTTGGTCTTCAGGAGTCAAATTTTTCAGTGTTCATAGGTACTGAGCTTATCAAACTAAGCTAGTAGATTAAGACAGTAAAACATGACAAAGCAGCACATTGGTGGGCTTCCACTACCTTCCATTTGCACTTTCATTCATTTTATTTGGCTTTTCGTTGTACCTTTATCTCAAAATTCTCAGCAATCAGAGTTTTGGGCTTGGAGTTTTAAAAATATTTAAGTCTCAGGTTTGGAGGTTTCTCAGTCTCACAAAGTCGAGAATTTACCATTCTATACCCCTATTTGTGTAGCCCCTGCAAAACAGATTATTTTTTAAAAAAAACTTTGTTACTAACAATTACAACCTACATAAAAAAATAAATTAAGTAATAAACAACAGGGATACTGTACTTTATCTTCCTTTCTAGTTCTTCAACATCATCTTCATCATCATTGTCATCATCTTCATCAAAACTTCTTCCCATCCTCTTATGATCTCTTGATACAATCATATTACCACCACGCTGTCATTAAAACAAACAAACAAACATTACAAACAAAACCGGAGATGAGAAAGTGGAAGGTTTATCACCACATATTTCTGCTTCCAAACTTTCTACTAAAGAGAGGAAGGCTCAACAGAAACAGTTTTACAACTTAAGATGAATATATGAATTTCAATAAAAAAATCTTGATAAATGCTTTTAGTTAAAAGAGCTTTGCCATTGCAATAACGTCGAACACTTTAAGAAAATGGTCAAATACCTATATTTATATACCCCAGTATATAAATGGGGCATGCTAAATCCAACAATATTTAAATTAAATATTATTTATGTAAAAATAATAATCACCTTGGGAGTACCACTTTTTAAAACCCTCCGGTTTATCTCAACTTTCATAGGGCTGGAGCTCTTCAACCCCTAAAAGTTAAATTAGAAAAAGGTCCACATAAATACAGTAAAACTTTGTTAATACGGACACTGAGGGGGTGTTCATATTAACAGGGTGTCCCTATTTAGAGAAATTGTAATTAGGGTTTCTTTCCACAGGGGCAAAGCAAACTGTCTTTAATAATGGGGTGTCTGTATTAAGAGGGTATCTGTTTAGCGGGGTTTTACTTTAATACCAATAACAAGTGTGCAGGTGTGGTCCCAAGGAAAACAGACAGAGACAGCCTCTTTTGTCTTTCTCCCCCCCCCCCGGGCTATCACCAAGAGAGGGGCATGGGATTTTGAGACCTCTTTTATATAAGCAGGGTGTTCAGGTGTTCATTAATTAGGCATTGGAGATTGGACGTAGAGCCTCTTTCACAATATCCCCCTGTATGGTTGCACCTTTCTTCTGCTACTAGCATTCTAATGAAAACCCTGTATAAGCATGACTACCAATGCAGCTAAGTGTACTATCGACAGAAACAAGAGGAAAATGGGGCATTTTTCCAGCTGTTCACTTCCCTACTTACAGTGGAACCTCGATATAACAAACCTCTATAACGAAGTTCTTTATACAATGAATGAATGTGTGCAAAATTACCTAGGTTACAAATTGTACTTAGTGAAAAATTAAATTTACCTAAGAAAAAATTTACCTGCAACATATATATACCGGCAACTTAGTGACAGCCCATCTTCCCTGTGTTTTGTTCGTATCCGGGCCAATTACTAGGCCTCATTTCAGTGGGAAAAAGTTCCACAAAAACTCTGAAGATCATGAAATCATGTTGAAGGAAGTAGGGGTGGGAAGTGAAACAAGTCAGATTTCAATGGATTTTTACAAGGGTTTCATAGTCTTGTATCATTCATCAACAATATTATTAGTTACTAGTACCTCTTTTTGCCTCTTTAACAAATTCAGGGATTTCTTAAATCTCTCAATCAAGTCTACAGTATTTAAGATCTGCAATAATCAACATACACAAGGCATTACTTTATAGGAAGTCTAAAAAGCACATCACTGTCCTGCATCCATAAAAAAACAGGTAGGTACAAGAATGGAGAATTTTCATTTGGAAGTTGTTGTAAGTTGTTCATAAGTTGCTGCGACAAGGGAGTTTAAATAGGACAGTGTGACCTCCACACCTCCCTGGTGCATCCACGTGTTATGTTTACAGCAACTGTCCCCTATTTCCTTCACTCAGGTGGATTCTTATTATACTCTTCCTACACAGTTTACCCAATTTTTTTGTGGCTGTACAGAAAATGCAGAAATCCTTCATGTAATAGAACTTTTTAGTCATTAAATATCTCAATCTTTTTTGGCAAAGAATTCAAATAAATGTGTGTTGATATGATACCTCTAACTTTTCCAGGTAAGAAGCTTTAACAATTGCTGCAAGTGTATCAGGAAGACTGCCATCAGGAATTCCACTTAACATGTCCTGAAAAATTAAAGTTACAACAAAGTAAACTCATTTTGCTAGTTGCTTTTTGATGATCAACATCATTTTGACAAAGCATCAAGAGAGTGAACACACCCAAGTGCATCAAAGTTTTCCTTCCTATGTTTTTGGACCACCTGTGCATACACATCTTGACATATGCTTTTAAGTTTCAAGTAACTGTCTGCATTATGGTGCAAGTAAATGTTTTCTTGTGTATTGCAAAAATATGCAAGTAAAAACTGTATTTATATCTACTCTTATTATTGTACGATGTTACACTTGGCAGTTCTTGCTGTCAATTATGTACAATCATTATTATTGTCAACAGCCGTCTGGTAATTGATTAACATGTGATTCCAAAGCCCAACCTCTCTAACATGAATAAATCTGAATCTAACCTTGAATCTAGAAACAAAAGGCACTCTCCCATCCAGCATGTCTACAAGTTCATTCGCATACAATCGGAATTCCTCTGCAAGAGTTGTCAATTCAGCATTCTTCCTGATTTCAGCTTCTACAAACACAAATGTTAATCATGTTACAACAAAGTGAACCAAGTTTGAAAAAATGAAGTGACAGTGAAAAAAAAGGGTATAAGCTAATTTTTATACCTGTAACTATGGGTCTCAGAAAACTTTTTAGTGATATTCAATCTCCAAGTTTTGGAAGCATTTTGGGTGAGTGTAGAAGTCTTATTTTGAGTTTTGTCTCTGTTTCTAAGTTTCAAACTTTATGGTGCATAGCAACTGATCTTTACACAAGGCAAAAAGCCCCATGTGACCTCTGACAAACTGCAGGATTCTACTTTTAAATTGCCTCAAGTTTACTGTCTTGTGAAATGAAGGGCATTTTTCCGTGCACTGACAGAGTCCTTCAATATTGTTTTCTCTATTGACATAGCACTAAAAATCTTAGTATTAAATGCTAATAAAAGTGTAAAAAAATAATATAATTTGTTATGTACACATTTTTTGAGAAGTCTTATTTAAAATTATAGAAAAATGAAAGCAAATACAGGTTTAGTCATGTTTTTTTTTTCAGTTAAGCTCCTTGGCCATAATTTTCAAACAAGTTATAGTAGTACATCTTTATTTACCTTTGTCCCAGATTTTATAAACTGGCATAGAATTAAAGCTTTTACGTCATAGAAAAGGAAAGATCAATCTCCTGGCTTCACAATTTTTATCAAATTATTAAGATAAAATAGAACGCCAAAAATTGATTAATGTCAACCAGGCATAAACTTGACCTTAAATAAAAGATATTTTCAACAAAAAACATGCATGTGTTAGAGGTCAAAATTAATTTAGGTTTTCTTTAACCTAAAGTAGGTTGATTCTCAATTCCCTTTACCTCCTTGCCCTAAATCATATCAACCAAGGTTTAACAAAAATCTAACCTGAATTTAATTTTGACCTGTAACATATATGTTGTGGTTCAAAATTTATCTTTGGTGTTTATTTTTAAATTTATTCCCTTATGTTAATTATCCTGCATGCTTTGTATGCAAAAACACAAAAGAATGTAAAAAGAGAGCAAGATAATATAATGTGCATTTATATGTAAAAATAAATAATATAATACACACCCTGAAATCATGTTTGTGAAATGCTGCTGCAAGACATGCTTATTAAGTATTTTCTGGTAATGTCAATTTCATAAATGCTGATGCTACTATATAAATGCACTAGCCACTGCACTATACCTTGTTCAGCAGGTTTGTCCAGTTGAGTAACTTCTGCTATCAGGTATGGCTCTTCCATTACTATTTTATCAATTCTAAATCGACAGAGTCCAGTCACTAGCAGGGTGTACAGAGGCTTAGGCCAGTTGGTACCTGTTACTTGTACCACAACAGCCCCAGTTCCCATGGCATGCAATAATGATTCCTCATCCTAAAGCCAATCAGAGCGTAAGAAAATAATAATGATCATAGTTTTAATAAAAATATTGAGAATTTACAGCAGCAGAAATCAAGACTTGTGTTCAAATGGGGTAAATTTCTGTATTCAGTGTATAAATAGGTGTATAAAATATAAGGTAACTGCAGGGCATAGAAAAGCTTTTATATATAGAACATACTATCCCACAACCTGTAACACCTGTTACAGGTGGCAATTAAGCCCTGATATCCAAATTCTCCAAACTGACCTTCATACAATTTCCTTAAAGAATTAGTTGGGAGAATTCGTTAAAAGATCAGAGCATTTTCCCTGAGGTGATCATTTTTATTTTATTAAATCTCATAACCTTTTCCTGTATAATTTGTGAGGAGAAACTCAATGTTGGTCACGCTTGGAACTTTAATGGTTAAAAGTGTTAACGTTCGCAGCCTACTTATTTATTTTACAGTCAAACTGCATCAACATTGACACTGAGGGAGCCATGTCACAGAAAGTGTCCACACTAACATAATGGGGTGTCTGTATTTAGCAGGTTAAATTTAGACAAAATGTAAGGAAGTGCTTTCCCCAAGGAACAAAGCAAACTGTCCGTAACAATGAGGCATCCGTTAAATCACATCAAATAAGGCTACAGGGGCAGATGCAGGATTTTTTTTTAGGAGGGGGTGCACTCGTCTCTTGCTCTAGTTCAACACCAATAAACCACATAGTTTTTTTTTTTGCAGAATACCAGTTGTATTAGAAAACCGCAGGTCATCTCAGGGGGGGGTGCACACCCCCTGCACCCTCCCCCTAGACCAGCCCCTGGGCTAAAACATTTATGGCAATAGACTGCACCTGTGTTACAAAAAAAGTAAAACAAACTACAAGCATCATCTCCATCTACAATCCAAAGTAATCTCTAATCAACCAAAACCTTCAAAAGTATTTTGGTCTGGTTTGAGATTTGAGAATATATAAACTTTATGTATCCCAAGATGCATGCCAAAAGGGAAAATATTTAATGAATTTTTGGTGTACATGTCCAATAGGGGGTGGTGGTGACAAGGGGGGAGGACAGAGAGGGGGAATATCTGTAAATTTGAGTGATGTCAATCCTACAACTTAAAAAGTGTCAACTAATGCTGATGATATAAACCGAACTAGGAAAACTTTCCACAGGAAGAAAATGTCCCAGTTTATTTAGAACTACGTCATTTCCGAACGCCACCAAAAATCACATTGAAGTGCGCGTCATCCTGCAACAAGATGACGTCACTTCCACCAAACGTAGAAGTCATGATCACGTACAATAATATAACACTCCTGCTCGTTACATTTGCGAAGTCATCCAAGCACAAAAAGGCAAGATCTCAATAAAAGAACACTACGAACCTCTTTAGCTGATCGCCGAGGCACAATTCCGATGATAACACTACTCAAAGTATCCTTTCTTAGTAATCTGGAATCGATCATTCGTAGGCTGTCGATCAAACACACAATTATTAGACGGAATATTGTCAAGAAAGGTAAAATGTAAACAGATTTGTATATACCTGGCATCGTCTCTCACTGCTATTCTCATAGAAGATCCTGGCAACAGGACTTTGTCTCTGAGGATAAGCAATGGAAGCCGCTTTGGAAGATCCCTGTTAGGAACCACCATTGCCGTACGTATTATGTGCGTGACGAATAGTGAGTGAGTACTCCGTGTTAGCAAAATAACTGAAACTAAAGTATTTACTCCTCTTGAGCCCAGTTTCCTCTCTGTCAAAAGGCCATTCTGGGACACTAAATTTGTTTTACATAACCTACTTGGCAGACAATCCAAGATGGCGTCTTGTTTAAGATTCTTTCGCCTTGGCTTTGCAGGTAATGTTTTTCTTCGTTTATATAATCGAACCAACCCTTACGTGATCAAATTAGTGTTAATAAGCTTAGTTTGAAACATCGCTACTGTGGTTTTGTATTTCAGTTTTTGCGAGGCCTTTGGTGGTTAATTCAAACTGCTGTGCGCGGCACTGGAGCACACATTCTGCTCTTCGAGCAGGCCAAAAAATAAGATTGGGGTACGTGCTAAGCTTTAGAGTGTGTGTTTTTAAATCTTGAAGTCTCTAAAATGGTTTTTAATTGACCCACCATATGGTAATAAAAGGCGATCGATCAAACGCACATCCGCAAAAAAAAAGACGTGGGGTGCTATCCGGTCACTTCACCACCAAACCATCTGGCCACCATCCTCGGAGACCCAGGGGCAGTCAGTCGGGTCGGGAGAAAGCTAAGGACGCGACGAAAGGTGTCAAGTACGGGCGAAAGAGCCCCTGGGTACCGACTCTCACCGAACTATTTCCAAAAATTCAAGCGGATGCCAGCTCCTGATTGGGCACAAAAAATGCTTTGTATTATTGTGCCCAATCGGCGAACAGTTTCTCCTGAGTTCTTTTCGTGAGTTCGTACACAACGGCTATTGTTTTGATCATGGATTGTCTGGCTCATGCACCAAAGAAATGCACGCAGTCAGGAAACTTTCAATTTGATATAAAATCCCCATCTGATTATCATATTTAAGACAAAAATCACTGGTGGTAGTGAAACTTTTCTGCCTTTTTTTTTAATCTGTCAAATGTCAAAGTTTACATTTGCCGACCCTGTTATCTGTATTTAGAGTATTACTGCACTTTTCAAAAACACGCGAACTCTAAAATTTTAAAAGCAGCTATCATAAATGCGTTTTTAGCTGCCATCAATCATAATTATGATCACAAGCAACGAACCTTGAAACAGGGACACACAAAATGGATCAAAATCTGCCATTCACAAATCACTAACCATGATCGCTCATTAAATTTTGGACTCGTTGGAGTAAACTTCTGTTTCGTAAGAGGTCTGCTAAGAGGATTAACAGCAGCGAAAAAAGCAAACGTCAGTTGGCTTTTGAACTTCAGAATTCACGTGCTTATGAAAAGAGCAGTAAGAGAATCAGTAATTGGACACAAGGATCGTCAATATTTTATTAGGATCAACAGATTTGTATTTGGGTCCACTTCAAATTTGAATAAGCTTAAGGAAAAAGTAAAATGTAGGTAACCAATACTAGGTATTAAACTGTGTCAATTGCTTCAGAGTTATTCATAGGTGGCAAGTCGACTTCTTGGTGGCAATTTTGTTGTTGGTGAGATGGTTTGGTGGTGAGATGACCATAATCCGTGAGGGACAGCATGTTACGGTCATCTTACCACCAAACCATCTCGCCACCAATGACATCTCCACCAAGAAGTCTACTCACCATCATATATAACTCTGAAGTACAGGTAATTTGACACTGTTTTCTTACCTAGGATTGTTACTTCTTCCTCAAGCCCAAAAACAAGTTTTTCGATTAATTATGATTTTTTATACCTTAATAGGGCTTAGCCTTCCTTATAAAAGTAGGGTAATATTAGAGCTTGAACCTTGCCTCCTTAAATTTCATTGTAAATTTAATGTGGAGGATTTTTTTGTTTAGAGACTTGTCCTTTCATTAAGCATTAAGATATAATTGTTCTTGGTAGTGAGAAGGTTTGGAGGCAAGGTGATGAGATATTCTTTATTTATTTCGTTTTTTTTATTTATAAACAGCCGAGGTCAGGCAAAAGATGGAATTGCTTATGGACCACTTACTGATTTGCCAGACTGGAGTTATGCAGGTAATAATATTGATTTTAAAAAGAAGGTTCTATAAAGTTCTGAAGAACAGAGCACAAGAGGTGGTTGAGTTCGTTAGGTTTGCACATTGCTGGCCTTAGACTTCAGCTCGTAGCGCTGCTGCTGCAGTGCATTGCCAGTCTAGGTTGCAGTTTGCAGTGCTCTAGTTTTTCTAAGTTACCTGCCAATGCCTTTGTCAGAAGTGGCTGCCGCTGCGGCACATTGTTGTATTGTATTGTTGGCCTAGGTTTTACAGCTGTAGCTTATAGTGCCAGGGAAGTGAGACTTCGAAATGGTAACACAATGGGAGTCAACACTTTTTAATATGCTGATCATCAAGTAGCCTGGGACCAGGCTAATCACCAAGTGGTGTCCTTAAAATTAATGCCAAATGAGTGTAGTTTTCCTTTCTTTAGTTGCTCTGTGTTTTCTCTATTGCTCATGCGCTAGGTATTCTCAACGGAACAGTGACATTAATGATAGTTAATCATGTCACTTGCAAAACTGTTAAAACCTCTATCCTGAACTCAACCAACAACAGCTTTCCAGGCTCATTAATTATCAGGACTTTCAAGAAATGGGCCCCTGTGGTCTGATGAATCACTTAAAATGTAAGCTTCTGAGTCTTATTATGGTGGGAAATTTGTTTATCAATTCAGTTGGTAAAGCCTAATAAATGTGTCTCATTCCCCTCTCATTCCCCCGACACAGCATGACAGTTGTTTTGGAAACCAACTTCTTCACTCTAGCTTACATTTTATATGACCAAGCATACAAATTTATATATATTTGTCAACTTAGAACACTATGTACAACATTATTTTGCGTCAGACCTTTTGTTTTATGGATCCTGGGGTTAATATGAATAAGAAACACACACTGATTTGTATCAACAGATGGGACTCCTGCACCAGAGACTAAGCGACGACGGATACGACGCTTCAGGAGACTAGATGTAGCGGTAAGTTACATACAACAAACAGGTGTTTTATTAATAGAGTGGACCTGAATTACATTATTGAAGAGAAAGGGCAAGTGCATCATTTGCATGTGAGCTATCTATTCAGCTCTCAAAATAACGGCCAGTCAATGGACAATGGCCGGCCATCCGGCCAAGATGATCATTTGTCGGGACAAACTTTCAGTTGCCTGAACATTTTAACCAGTCAAGTTCATGGCTTTCAAATAAATAACTAGAAAAATAAATATTATAGCTGCTTGCTGTTTTAAATTCAGAGAATACAGATGAGATGGTCTCGTTCTGCAGCTTCGTGAATGCCAATTAGGGTTTTGTTAGTTTTCAATGTTTTGACCAGTCTGAAACGAGCCAGTGAGACCATGCTAACTGTCCAAAAAAAAATTTGAGCCTTGCAATTATCGTAATGATCATGGTAAAGGTTCTTTGATTGCCTTATAGTTGTTCGAGACTTCCTTTTCTTGCACGATTGGCAAGGGTAGGTGACTGCAGTCATAAAACAAGAATGACCTGGGCACAACAGTAATAAGATGTAAAAGCTGCACGAAATTACTCTGTTTCATAATAGGTGATTATTAATTATTTATCATATCATATCATTGCATCGATACCATATACCGTAGGATAGCAGAGCGTAGCCTATTGTAACATATTGTCATATATAGACTAGAAAATATTGTATATCTACTGTATCAAGTGGTGAATAGACTCTTTGCCAAAACTTAGATACAGTACCGTCCATTGATGGATACCTGCTCGTACTTTTGAGGAGGTAAAGAACGCGCGAGTAGTCAAGCCAGTCACGGGCTTCACAGAAAAGTTGTGTGCTTTACGCCTTGAAAAGCCGTGTTTGAGGAAAAAAACTGGGTACTTTCTATTCAACCAAATAGTCCTGTTTAAAGTTTCGTTCAATTTCCAGGACAACCTCGTGAGGTATACCCAAATTTTTTCTCAGAAGTTTTCTTTCCATTCAACTTTGCTCTCTCGGAAATTTCTAGAATTTTCGGTTGAATGGTTCACATTTTCGAAATTCAACAGCTTCCGGAATTTCTGGAAACTTTTCCCGGGAAATTTCTCTACCACTTGTTCCTGTTTTCAAATTTCGAAAGGTTTGGTTGAATGGAAAGCGTCCACTGTTTTGTAGTCTAGATGTCACGTGACCCTGAAGTAACCAATGAGAGCAGGCAACTGAAGAAAAAAATTCCAGTTGTAATTCAAAAGTTGTTTACCATTGACCAAAGTTTCCAGAAAATCCGGTTGGAAAGGACTGCTTTTCGTGTCGTTGGAAAATTTCCGGGAGCAACGGAACATCTGAAAGGTGGTCCTGTTTTTGCGGACAGATTGTTCCAGTTTCGGACCTTCGAGGCCGTTTCTCGGTCAGTGAAACTGGTTTATACAAATGGCAAACGCGATTCCGAGACGAAGTTTACCAGTCCTGCGCTTGCCATTTGCCCAAACCGTGAACCGACAGGTTTGCCTATGTAAATGGTAAACAAACAAAAATTATTTCTTCTTGTTTAGTTGTTATCCATAATGTCGAACCACAGTAAGGTGTCTTTAGAAACAGAAAGAAGCAAAAACAATAGGGCCATTTATACGAGGAAAAATATGACGCGTCTTACATAAGACGCGAACTTTCCGTATAAACGGCACATTTCGCTTAAAATAAGACGCGTCTTATTAGATAAGAAATGCTCGTATAAATGGTACAGTTCGCGTCTTATTTAAGACGTGTCTTATGTAAGACGCTTCTTATTTTTCCTCGTATAAATGGCCCTAATGTGTATTTGATTTCAGACTTCTATTTATTTTAGAATCAAGTTAAAACATATCTGGAAGAAATGGAGAAAGCCGCTCAAAGACGAGATAAAGAAGGAAACATTTTGGAAACGAAAGAAGGATGCAAAACGCGATAAAGTCAATGCAACAAAGGCAATAAGATATTACCAGGTAAGTGGTAGTCTCCCTCGCAGCTGTTTTTGTCTCGTCACACAACGCTCCTTCTTGGGGTGACAGGTTGTGACGCTTACTTTTGTTTTAGTGATAACTATGAACTTCACCATCTCTTGACATAACTCGTTGATCGTTTTTTTCTCATCATTATCTTCGCCTCTGTTTGTGTAGCTGTTTATCTATTTTTTATTGCTATCGCCTCCTTGTGTCACCCACACTAAAACTTTATTTTATATTAACTGGGCTTTTTCGCCTCCGTTGACGTCGTCTTTCGTGGTATCTTAAACTTCCCGATTTCTCATCCCGCCCCGGGATGCCGTAGAGTCGGCGAAAGCTCGTAACATAACAAAATAAAGTAGCTTAAAGCCTCACTTGATCTGTTTAGTCCTCGTTCCTCACTTGGGGTGTATGGCGACCTTGGAGACTCGGGGCAGTTAGTTAGGTTGGGAGAAAAGGCGCGACGAAAGTTTTCAAGCAAGGGTGTAAGAGGCTGGGTCAGGGTGTATATGTAACAGGCGAGTTTATGAGAGAAAAAGAGAACAGAAGACAGACTGTTATTTAAAAAAACAACAACTAAATAACCATATTTTTCTTTACCAAATTAAAAAATGGTTACCAGAACAGAATATATTAACTGAATCACGCAAAAAAACTACTCAATATAGCAGTTACTAAACTTGGCGAATAGCTATACGCAAAAGAATATTAAGGGGGAAAAGAAAATAGAGTAAATAAAAAGATAAAAAGAAAATTGAATAGAGGAAATGAATTAATCATCCTAATTAATCTAAAGGAAATAGATTAAGAAAACAAGAGAAAGAGATAGAAAAATGTGGAAAAACCGGTACCAGATAACAGGATCATCAATTATTGTCTCATGAGTTTATGAGCCAAGGCCACATCAAAAATACTAGCCAGCATCAAATGTAAGTAGACAAAAAAAATCATCATTGCTAGCTTAAATAAACGCCAGGAGCTACTTTTTTTCATCCACGATGCGCACGACAAGGCTTGTTTAATTCCAACTCAGTTAACAAAGCACTTTTCAGGAGCATTTTGATAAATTTACACTTCAAAGTTCCTCGTGAGGAGAACATGACAACAGACTCTATTTTTTCGCCCCTCTCTCCTTGAGTTGCACGCGTGTTTCTCCTGACGGACTAAGAAAGACGATGAGCTGTTCTTTGGAAAATCTGTGATATTTTCCCTAGTATATGGATATAGCCAGGGCCAAAAGCGATGCTCTCGTTAATAGTCTTATAATTTACACAAACAAAAAATAAAATCGTTTAATGCTAAACCGCGACAACAACGAGAGCGGCAAGAAAATGAAATAGGTCTAATGTGAGAACCAAAATTTCTCGGATGCTTAGATAACCACATTTTCTTACCACGCTCGCGCGCTTCTCGCGTACAAGAGCTCCAATAATAGGCTTTTATCGTTTGTAGAGTGACATTTTTTCTTGCATTCTTGTCAGCTTCCAATAGCCCACGTTCGATATATTAAAATTCTAACATGACTCCGAGGCTTTAGGGTCGAAATTGCAAAGTTTTCACGACTCCATTGTCTCGCAATTCCCAGAAGAGACTTGAGCACAGAGAAAACCAAACCAAATATGGAAAAATGACCAGAAAGCCTCGACGCCATGTTGAATTTTAATATTTGAACGTGGGCTATTACGTAGCGTCTGCATTTTTTGTCCCTTTTTCTTTGCACCCTAATTCAGAGTATGCGTGTCAGTTTGTCTAGGAATATTTATCCAGTTATAAGAGCATTTGCTATTGCGAAGTCTTGCCAAACAAAAGTTGACCTTGGGTTTTGAATGTTCACTGAACAAGCATTCCACTGACTGTGGTATGAAAAACATTCTGGTTATACTAGAACCCGTCTGGTCAGGAGTCTGGCCATATCATGGAACGACTGTACTTTGCGTTTGCCCTAAAAAAAAATTTTTGCCGGATGATCTCCCCCAAAATAACGTTTATCTCACAGCGTGGAAAGAAAAAAGTGTCTGATAGCCCGGGGCTCGTGGATTTTGCTGTCTGGCTAATAAATTCTGTTCTTAACTTGAACCTGAGGTTTTGTGGGGAATTCAAATTACTGAAGA